ATCCTTAAAATTCTCATGAAATATATGCAAAAACAATTTAATGAAATTATTAAAATAATATATCTATATTCATACAATCCCCGAGACTAAAACTTAGTCAATCTCTTATAAAATAATATCAACAAAATATGTAGATTCATTAAATTATGCAGTGCATTAAGTGCATTATATAATGAAAGCATATTTACTAGATCTATGTCTTACAAAATAAATTTGAATTTGTATAATTATTAATTATTATGCATTGATACTTGTTTGACCTACTACATATTTATAAAGATTATTTTCAATTTTAAAAGTCTACTAAAATATTAAATAACTTTAATTAATACGAAAACGATAATGTTTCACTCATATCTATAGTAACTTTATTACTACTTCTTAGACCTGTTTTATTATTAGCATTTTAAACATTTAAAATTTGCTAAATATTTATTAAATGTACAATGGACGTTGACAAATTGAAGTTTGGAGGAACTTCCTAAATAAGTATGAATATAATACTCGGAATAAACAAAAAAAAATTATCAAGCATTAAAAGCATAATATAATAACATAATGGTGCTTTATAATGACATATGGTTTTACGGGATTTATTGACTATGGACAAGAAGAAATAATTGTACCGAACGGCGTATAAATCCGGAATTCAATGTATCATTTTAATAATATTTCCTCTTATTTTAAAATGCCCAAGAAAGATGCTTTCTTTTTATGTCTGGTACCATCCCTCTTTGTGGAGTATTGGATGCTTCTGCGATTCTATACCTCTCGCGGGCTAAATCGGCGAGAGAAAACAAGAAGTGAGACTGAAGTCTGTTGCTATGGACTATTTTTCCAAATGGCCAGAAATAGTTGCACTATCCAATCAAGAAGCAATCACAGTTGGTGACGCACATGCTTGAGAATTACCTTTCCCGACAAGAGGTTCCACTGAATTCTGACCAGAGAAGCAACTTCGAATCGGAAGTTTGGAAGACCATGACAGCTTTGTTGAGAATTAAGAAAACTAGAATGACACTGCTTCATCCTCAGTCCGACGGCACATAACCAGACCACCAACAACTACTTGTTTCTGTTTGTACATGAAAACCAGAGAGACTGGGACAAACTGGTGCCTCTGTTTCAGCTAGCATATCGAAGCTCTCAACATGAAGCAACTGGTTACACTCCAGCAATCTTAGTGACTGGTCGAGAGATGAAGCTTCTCACCGATCTTCTACATGGTAATCTACCGAACGAAGAGGTGGACCAAGAGACACTCCCCGAGTATGTCAGCGGTCTAAAAGATCGACTGGTTAAGTGGTTAGGTCCACAATTTCGCAAGGAATAAGAATAAACAAGAATAAGAAAAGGTCTGAGTCGCAAGTCACAGCGGCTCTGGGATGGACTAAGAAGATAAACGACCTTGTATATATGGTGCAACTGACGCCACGGAGTATGCCAAAAGTCGTCCACCTGGAGAAACTGTGTCCTTATGAAGGACATAATCCACCGACTTGGTCCATTTAGATGCTGTTCGGGGTGAACAGCCTGAAAGAAGGGGGCGATATTATGATGTTGTTTGGTAGAAGGCCATTTCAGAGTTGACTAAATTCGCGGCAGGTCTTTTTGCCATTCGTTAATTTGATGCAAGATAAGTATAAGGGTTACAGATATGGATAATAATAGAGCATTTGTAACGAAAACAATCTGTTTCTTTTCAGTTTCCTATCAAATTTCATTTTAGTGTTACAATGTTAGGAGCAGACGGGGAAGATCGACAATGGATCAAATATTTACAGTCAAGCAGGTCTTGAGCAAATCGTGGGAACACGACATTAATGTTCACAACGTGTTTGTAGACTTCAAACAGGCATACGATTCAGTCAAAAGGGACAGACTATACTATATATTGGCAGAATTAGCAATACCACATAAGCTAATTAGACTCATTAAAGCCACAATGGATGAAACTCAGGCATGTGTACGAATACAAAACAACCGGACAGACTTTTTCAAAATCTCGCAGGGACTAAAGCAGGGAGATGGGCTGGCACCAACATTGTTTAACCTGGCACTGGAGTATGCGGTCAGGCAAATGCAAACTGGACGAGAAAACCTACTTACCAATAAAACGGTTCAACTGGCTGCCTACGCCGATGATATTAATATTATCAGTAGAACATCAACAGGAGCACAGGAAGCATACGCAGAGTTAAAAACACAAACGAAAAGGCTAGGCCTGGAAATTAACACAGAAAAAACAAAAATAATGGTACAGACGAGAAGAAATATAATCCCACAAAACATTATACATGAAGATGACATTGAAACGGTTGGAAAGTTTACATACCTGGGAGTAGAAATATATGCCGATGGAGCAGAGGATGGAGAAATACGAAAAATGATAACGCAGGCAAACAAAGCTTATTTTGCCCTCTCCCATATATTTCGGTCTAAAAGTGTCCACCGAAATACAAAGATGAGAATATATAAAACTTTAATTCGGCCAATAGCATGTTATGGCAGCGAAGCATGGGTCCTGAAAGAAACATCCAAAAACAAACTCGACACATTCGAAAGAAAAGTACTGAGGAGAATACTAGGACCTGTGAGGGAAAACGGAATCTTCAGAATTCGATATAACAACGAGCTCTATCAACTGTCTTCTTCTTAAGGTGCCTTCTCCATTACTGAAGGTTGGCTATAACTACAGCAAATTGCTCTCTATCTTGAGCTGTTCTTAGTATCGCATGTGTGTCCATGCCTGTCCAGTCTCTTATGTTCTTCAACCAGGAGCATTTTCTTCTTCCTGGACCTCTTCTTCCTTCCACTTTCCCTTCCATTATAAGTCGTAGGAAGTTGTATTTTTCTCCTCTGTAGATATGTCCTAAATAACTCGTTTTTCGGTTTTTTACAATATTTAGGAGTTCTCTGTCAGTACCCATTCTTCTTAGCACCTCGTTGTTGGTCACGTGCTCTGTCCAAGAGATCTTCAGCATTCTTCGAAAAACCCACATCTCAAAGGCTTCTATACGCCTCATACTTGTAATTCCGAGAGTCCATGTTTCCACTCCGTATAGCAATATGGAATAAATAAACGTTTTTACAAATTGGTATCGGATGTCCAACGATAACGTAGAGTTTATTAGAAATTTTTTCATTCGCTGAAATGCGGACCTAGCATATTCTATACGAGCACGTATTTCGACCTCGTGGTCAAGATCGTTTGTTATCCAGCAACCAAGATACTGGAATCTTTGTACTGGTTCTATATGTTTGTTATAGATACGAATATTAATGTCGACATTTGGTGTACGTGTAACAGCCATCACTTTTGTTTTATTTGTGTTTATATTTAGTCCCAAGCTATCTCCCTCTCTGGTTATGACATTCAAAAGTCGTTGTAAACCCTCAGCACTGTCCGCAATAATGACGGTGTCGTCTGCGTATCTTAAGTTGTTTACGTATTCTCCGTTGATTTAGGATTCCGAGGATAAGGAAACACCCCTGTCAAACTTCATTAGAATACAAAGATTGCAATGGGCCGGACATGTGATACGAATGGGAGAGGATAGGCTACCAAAACGAGCACTGAACGCCAGAATGCAGGGAAAGAGACCAGTTGGAAAGCCAAGAAAGCGCTGGGAAGACACAGTAAGCAGCGACGCACAAGCACTTTTAGGAGTCCGTGTATGGAGAAGAGCAGCCACAGACAGACAAGGGTGGAGGCAAAAAATAAAGGAGGCCAAGGCTCATTTTGGGCTGTAGTGCCGTAGAAGAAGAAGAATGTTAGGAGCACTTAGGAGGACTATTACATGCAATGTTTGCAACTACTCAGATCATTTTTTTGGTATTTTTATTACCATTCACTCCTTTCACACATTTGATAATGTCTTGGTCTTTTAGTACTATCTTTTTATAAACAGTTTATTTATTCAGCATTTATATTAATCATTCGGTATCTGCATTTAAGAAGTCAATAGGTCAGTATTTATGAAATCAGTTACTACAGTAGACTCCCTCTATAACGGGAACTGAAATGGCAGACTAATTACATCGTTATAAGCCGATCTCGTTATATAAAAAAAATAATACTGTGCATACATATTTCTAAAACATTAACTTCCTATAGTGAAGCCATTCGGAGCAATAAAGATGCTAAATATTGTTTGAATGGCGTTTTAAAAAAAAAGTTGTTTACTTTTATTGTCAATAATATACGTTAAAATAAAAAAACTGTATTCTGTAAATCTGTATAAAGCGTATTTTCAAGGATAACACTATTGCTTCTGCAATTGGAAGAAGTCTGTCATTTTTTGACTGTTTTAAATTGTCCAGTATTCTATCTATCGTATTTTCTAAAGATATGAAACAGTTGTATGCTTCTTCATTTGCGTTTTGTAGGTATTTGGATAAAGTTTCTTACGACGTTTAAAATACTTTTAACATTTAGTCTATTAGGACCTTTTTATTATTATGTGCGAATGGTCAACCCCCTACAATGACACTTTTAAAGTTTATTGTGGACGGCAGTTAAAAAGGGTATTTATACCTACGGCCGGGCCAAAAATTAAAAAAAAAACACGTTTTTCGATGTTATTTTCTCTCGTTAGAACCAAATTTACTTCGCTATAGAGGGTTACAGTACAATAGAAATTTCACGGGACATCTAATGTACCTTGTTATAAGCAAAACACCGTAATAACCGTGTTCGTTATAGAGGGGGTATACTGTATTGATTTGTTATTCTTTAGATATATATTTTTAATGTCTTCTCTTGTAATTCACCTAATGTTCACATTTAGCACCTGGTATACTCCTGTACAGCTAGTATAGTGATATATTCATTGTTATTGATAATTATCGTCACGTGCTTTACTATTTTACCAGCCAGACAGTGGACGTAACGGAACCGTATTCACAGAAATAGAAATAATATATACTAATAAAAAAGAAAAACTCAAGAATCCAATATAATAAAAATTGTTTCACTTTATACTACGCATTAAGCTTACCTTGAAATCGTCAATGCCGTTTTGTCCTAATCTGAATTCCTGGCTACATATTAATTTTTTGATTAAATCTTTGGCAGCATCTGATACTTCCACATCTGTTGGAAAGTCAAAACAGTTTTTATGGTTCATAATTTTTCCGTAAGTTTCAACTAAGCTTTCTGCGTAAAACGGGGTTTCACCAAACAGCATTTCATACATACAAACACCTATAAAAGAATTATAACTTAATTAATATTTTTGATTATGTGAATTGAAGGAATATGTATCTGGGTATCTCTCGAAACTAACGCTGTGCGACAAGCGTCAATAGAAGGGTGACAAAAGGATATTATTTTTTTAATTAAAAACCGAAAACTAAAAATCAGCTCATGACTAACATGAAATTACCCAAATGCGCAATACAGTCCGAATCGGTTCTAGTTGTACTGAAATGATGGTTTTAAATTCGATATTTGGAACAATCCAGTTCGCTTGTTGAACAAGTTTGTTCTAATGCACACTTCAGTGCCTGCAGGAAGATTAGAACGTGGCTACAACGATCATTTGGATATTTCACTTACCTAACGACCACCAATCACACTCAGGTCCATATCTGCCCTGCCCATCTTCCATTGCCTAGAATGAACAGTTATTAGTATTTTAGAAAAATGTTATTTTGATTATTTTAAAATAAAAAAAAAAGATTTTTTTACCCTGAGAATTTCTGGTGAGATATAATCAGGAGTACCGACAGCTACGTTTGATTGTACAGTACCATCTTCATTTAATCTTAAACAACTACCAAAATCAGCTAATCTAATATGACCATTTGCGTCTAGTAGAACATTGTCAGGTTTGATATCTCTGTAAGAAAAAGAAATAATTTTGAACATGAATTGAATTTTGAATTTAAATAAAAATAAACTCTTATTAATAATCTGGCATTGATTTACATGTTTGTATAGTTAGTCCAATCGTCGGCCATTTGCTCTAAAAACCAGACGAGCACGCTGGATTTTGCTGTGGATGTCAATTTTGGGACCCCAAAAAGATGCAAAAAACGTATACAAAACAAAGCATACGTTGTTTACTTATGATAAACCTGTCAAATTCAGACCAAATATTAATAATACAATATAAATATATCGTTTGAACGTAAATTTAATTATTATATAAAACTAAATAATATGATTAAAAATAATAATTGTATTTATATGAAATTATTTTAAAACGAGAATTATTATAAAAATTTAAACACATGATTCAATGTTGTTATAAATCGGATGACATTTATGAGTTTTATTAAATTTTGACAATCGTTACGAATCGATTTTTTTATATTGATATATATTTTTATTATTGTATTATTTTTACTTCTTATTTAATGTCTATATTTTGTTAGTTTTCCATGCACTTTTTAATTTTAACCTACTTAGAGTAAATATATATGATGACTAGAAACACATTGACTTGACCAATTTCAAGAAACGATATTCTATGACGCTACCCGTGACGACGCCATCTTGTGGCGCTAGTTCCGTGACGTTCGCATCAGCATTTTACTGCAGAGAAAAAAAGTAATACAACGCCAGTATAGAAACTTTGCATCAAAAAGTTTGCCAGTAATAACCCCAGGCTTCCCCCCCCCTAGCATAGGAGGAAAATAACGGAAAACATCGATGTCCCAAGAATCTGTAGTGAAATTTGTAATTTGACGGTAAAAATTCGATATCTTTTGATCAGAGTATCCAATTGACAAATATCAAAAGGCATTTTAAAGTTTAAGAGTGCAGCTTTCTAGTGACTGTACTATGATGCCGAATCCACAACAAGTACTGAGTATCCATGACTAACCATCAACTTCGAAGTCTGTTATTTCAGATGCCACTGAAGATGCTCTGAGAACGAAAGTACTTGGGCAAGATTTAATAAAAAAAAACTTTTCTCGATATCTGCTTTTTATTTATAAAATATTTTAAAAATGCCTGGTCGGGACTGTGGACAAATCCTGGCATCTGTTTTTTTAGTTATTATAGGCATATAAAGAGAACCCTACATGTTTTCTGCAGATATGTCGGCGTCTTTTTTAAGTATTAACAATTTAGTGTAAAATGCAATTCTTCAGATTTTTTACTTTACTTTTACTAGCGGATGTCTCTTGATATCTGAGACTGGTGGAGAGTGGATATCGAAATATCTGTTTCGAAGCCAAGATCTTCTTCGACCTGGGCAGCTTTGGTGATCTTGCCTTGTATTATGAGGTGTAAAAGGTTATACCGCTCTGGATGTCTCATTACATGGACGAAAAATTGTAACTTTCCAGTTTTTATTGTTTTTGTTATTTCTGTGTTCTTTTTAATTCGATGGAGGTTTCATTTTTTATTCGATCAATTCGAGGTAAAATTATAAAACTTTATCTTTTAAAATATAAAAAAAACACCATTTAAAATATATTTTAACACCAAAATTAGCCAAGTCGTTCTTTAGTTGTTATTATATATAAAAAATTTATTATATACAATTATACTATATGTATATGTATGTATATTACGGTATACCGCAAAGATACTATACCAGTCTCGATTTTTTGAGTCACGTTAAATAGGATTTCGAGCCCATGTAAAACATCATACCGAGCCATACAAAGCATTTACTTCAAAAGGCCGCTAAAATCTCTGCAAAAAAACGTACCGGTTTTCTTTATGTAGGCCTGTAATAACTAAAAAAAATCAGATACCTGGATTTGTCACAGTCCCGGGAGAAGTGTTATTTCCCCGTGCTATACTGAGCCGAGAATTAGAATTAGAGGATCCCGAAAAAGTAAAGTAATACCGGTTGTATTATTTGTTTAACATTAACTGTTGTACGTTTAATTTCCTGGATATGTTGTCCTGTTGGATGATGTACATGCATCCAGATAGCATGTAACAGGTTCTATCTGTCCCCCAGTCTACTTTCTCCCTTAGTTTTTTCGATATAATTATGGTCAAAGATATCTGACACAAAAAAAAATGAAAAAAGAAGTATACAGTCCACTACACATTTTAGAAGTATAGACTTCAACAGGAATAGCAGCAACAGACAAAAATATGCAGAAAATCACGTTTTAAATACAGGAAACAAATAAAATGAACTTCAAAATAAACACTAGAATAGTAATGTTGTTTCTTGATCTTATTGCATTTCAAATAATCTACCATATGATACTGTAGAACATTTTATAGACATCAACGATAAAAGGTAATGAATAGTATATAATATATAGTCTTACCTGTGTACATATTTGAGATTATGTATTGAATCAATGGCTAAGACCATTTCAACTATATAGAACCGAGCCATTTCTTCTGGAAGACGATCTTCGAATTTGCTTAATAAAGTTAACAAATCACCACCACAGTAATAATCCATCACTAAATATAAATTAGATACGTCCTGGAATCGAAAAATAATACAATTATTAAATACAATGGATTTTAAATAAAAAAAGTCTTATTACAGAATAGTTATAAATATTAGAATGTTATTCCCATTAAATAAAGAAATATATAAAAAATCCATTAAATCTATTAATTCCCATGTATGGTATCAATTGTTTGCTTATACTACTGTGCACCGAAAAAAATAGTTTCTATCTATTTATGATCCAAGTTTTCGCGATAAACAAATTTCTATATCGCGTGTTTTTTTATCGTACCTTAACAACGCTATCTCTAAAACGTGAAGAAATGAGGACCAGTTAAAAAATATTGTGCATTTAAAAGATTATTAAAATACAAACAAATATCAACACTAACAGGTCCGCATTAGAAAAAGAAAAAATGTAATATTTCTTCTTTTAAACGTAGCTTTTCACTCTCAAATAATAAAAAAATAGTATAAACTACTTTAAATTTTTTCTAACTTTGCATCTTTATTGGAGTTTGAAATAGTGGCATTTTTTGTTTCATTGTATCAAAACCATTCACAACAAAAGTCATCGTCAATTTCCTGCGTATTGTCAATAAATCTCCTGGTTCAGACGAAATACCAAGCAGTTGTTAAAGCTGATTCATGACAAAAATATGGATATTTTGGTGGGGTTATTCAATAAAATATACACAACAGAAATCTCTAGGAGAATTGTTAAAATCGTCATTCAAAACCAAAAAGACAAATTTAAAAGACTGCTAACAATAAATCTCATCTCACACACCCTAAAAACCTTTAAGAATGTTAAAATCCCAACTAGAACTAGACATTCTTCTCCTCTAAGTGCCATCTAAACCAGTCCCTAAATCTTTTCAATCATTACACTCTCCTTCTTCTTATACCCCTTCCTCCTCATTATCTTTCTCTGTATTATCAATCTTAGCATTTCATATCGCTGTTGCCTTATTGCCCCACATATTGTAACTTTCTTATTTTTGTTGTATCAATTTATTATTTCGTATTCTTTGCCCATTGCAAACCACCGTATTCTAGCAGATTGAAATGATTGGAATCTATTCAACCCAAACGAAAGACCACCATCATTGCAGAGGTTGCACAAACCATGAAAAAGCTTAAAAATAATAAATCATCACAAACTGTTCAAATTTACTCTATAAGAATGGTACATAAACTTTTACTTCTTCTCTAGCAACATGAGATCATGCCCTGTGAATGGTCTCAAGGCGTAATATGTTCGTTACATAAAAACTACGACCAGCTCCAGTGTAACAACTACAGAGATATAACTAAGCCACAATTAAAGGTTAAAATTTTGTTTTTTTCTTACTTGGTGAAAAATTCGTCTAATAATTTAGTTTTATCTGATTTATTTATATTGACAATTCAGACATATATTATACATTTTAAAGTAGCTTGTTTGGCAGCTGGTCTCATGCTACTGTATGGAAAATTTTAGAGCTAAGAAACATTCCGCAAAAAATAATTTCTATTATAAAGTCACTATATACTGATGCGGAATGCAGCGTGACACACAATGGGATCAACAGTGACGAATTCGACGTACTTACTGGAGTCAGACAAGAATGCGTGCTTTCTCCAATTCTTTCTAACATAGCTATAGACTATGTTCTCTCCAAACTAGACTCCGACACAAGAGGGATACAATGGACGTTAACCACACGCCTAAGCGATCTAGAATACGCTGACAATATCTGCCTATTAGGTCAGAGGTTCCAAGATCTGGCTTACCAATTGGAAACACTTTCTACTGAAGCCAATAAAATAGGTTTGAAAATCAATGTTAGTAAAACCAAGTCCATGAGAATAAATGCAAGGAACAACACGCTATTTACTACCGACAATATTCAGATTGAAAATGTGGAAAATTTTACGTATCTTGGAAGTGTCATAACAGAAAACGGAGGCACAGAAGATGATATTCGTATGAGGATACGAAAAGCCCAACAAGCTTTCAGCACGCTCAACCCTGTTTGGAGATCTGGCGAGTATACTACAAGGACAAAGATCCGAATATTCCGATCAAATGTCATGTCTATTCTACTCTACGGGTGTGAAACCTGGAAAGTGACAAACACCCTCACAGACAAACTGCAGGTCTTTGTTAACAAATGTCTACGAAGAATTGTTCGTATATTCTGGCCTAACACCATAAGAAACGAAGATCTGCTACACCTGACCGAACAAAAGAGGGTACAAAATGAAATTAAGTCCAGAAAGTGGGGTTGGATCGGTCACACACTCCGAAAAAATAGTTCCGGTATCGCAAAGACTGCCCTAGAGTGGAATCCCCAAGGGAAAAGAAAAAGAGGTCGCCCAGTACAAACTTGGAGAAGATCCATCATGGACGAGATAAGAGGCCAAGGAAAGTCTTGGAATGAGGTGAAGGCCTTAGCGCAAAATAGAACCCGATGGCGCGTTTTCACTGAAGCTCTATGCTCCACATAGGAGTTCAAGAACCTTATATGTATAAAGTAGACGACTTTAAAATGATATTACCAATATTGCTGAGTTGCGTTCCTGGAACGACTTTATTGTAAGATAGTTCATTCGATTAGATAGTCAACTTTTTTAAGAATCTCCATCAGAAAAAAATCATAGCATGTAATTCGTCTTTAAAAAAACAACCACATGTCATTATGACAGTAAAATTCTCCTGTTAGTGATTCCATAGTAAATCATGAGAAAAAAACAGGAAAAAAAACTTCATAATACTATTCCGACATGGTAAGTATTTGGTCTTACATTTTAGGTTACTCTCAATACACACCAAATTCTGATTTTATATGTTTGTTATTTAACAAACATAAATTATGTAACTTCCTCTTTTAATATGGGTATCCAGATCCTACTGCATTCTGCCGAGGAAATTGCGACACAGTTGGTCTCATTTACCATAATTAGAGCCGCTTCTTTAATTTTTCTCTTTTTTCCATATATTTCTTTTACGACTACACTTGAATCATTCTATTGAACCCTATGTTTATTTTCTCATGCATGTTTACATATTTGAGATGTATCCAATTCTCTATCTTTAATATAAGATTGATGTTCACTTATTCTAACATTTAATGGCCTTGATGTATTACCTAAATAAAACTGATCGCATTCACAATCATCATCGCATACAATAATTCTTTGTTCTTTCTTGTTCATTGTTGTTTTGAATGTTGTTGAAATGTTGAATTTATTTCCTGTCCTTTTATGTTTGTCTGATAATCCTTTTACATACATTGTTATTTTCCTCGTATTATTCCTTGTGTATGCTGTAGGATCTCGTTCTGTAGAATTTAGAGGAACCAGAGAGGAGAATTATTACGATGGAAGACAGAGTACAATCACCTGTCACTTAAATTTTGTAGAAAGAATTAAACAAAAACCTATAAGAGACCAAGGAAAATTTCGCGGGTTCGCATATATTTCTACATAAAATAGTGCTTTCAAAAATTTTCGGATTACTTTTTAGAGAGGCTATAACTCTTTTGTGAAAGAGTTATAGCATATAAATTCAAACAATTTTACGCAATAAGACACCTTAAGTTATCCTTAAAACCTTAAGTAATCCTACTAAATGTTTCAAAAGGACTCTCAACGATAGTGTGGGATTTAAGGAAATAAATAAAAAATGACTAACATCAGAATTATTGTAAACGTCAAAATCTTATTTGTTTAAGCTAAATGATGCAGCTTAAGGAAATTAACAAATCACGTGTGGTTGCCCTAATGGTAAATTTTGGAATATAGATCAAGTTAAGTTTTCAGCAATTCACTTGAACACTCTTTATAGAGAGTGGATGATAAAGCAAGCGAAGCCAAGCAAGGTCGCTAACTATTAAGCCACTGATGGATGTTACCGATCAAAATACATACTAAAAACTAAATCGATGATGTTCCAACAAAAGGTATATTGTACTAAATATCAAAGCTATACAATTAATTATCTTACATTCAACCGTAGATAACTAAATATTTCGATTATTTGTGTGGTACTTTTTATATTACGCGGCTAAAAGGTTTATTCATTTTATAGAAAACCGGTGCACGGAAAAGACAGTTGAGAGATCCAATGAACTAAAGTAAAAGTTTAAATAACCCTGCTAAACACAATATATAATTTCCTGTTGCTAATAATTTCAAATAAAGGACGGATTTATGGTTTAACTTTATAGAGAAGCAAAAAGTAATAAGAAACACCGGTAAAAGTTTTATTGATAATGTAGAAGGTTAAAATATGCTTAAAATTACGTTTGTAATGTATTGGTATATTATATAACCAGTATGATAAAGAGACTATTACTAGAAGAGTAATAAATATGGTCACAAGATACCAACTCTTGTAAAATTAAAGCACCTAGAGGTATTGAAAGGAAATATTTAAATTCAAGGAAGTATTCAAAATGACCACCCAACAAAAACTTAATATTTTCAAATTTTATTAACTTACAGGCGATGGCAATGACAGGATCTCTTTGTTGAATAAATACGGTGATTATCATTTGTTTTAAATAATCTAATCTGTCAAAAATACTAAATGTTCTTTCGTTTTTATCGAATTAAATAATTTCTTTGTGTTTTTGTATATTATTTCCGTGTTAAAGAACTAATAAAAAAATTTTACTCAAAGCGATTCGGGAAATTGTCTTTTTGTTATAAGTTATTTGTTGAAAACAATTTCCGACCTACTTGGAAAAATTAAAAAATAACATGCATTTGAACTTGAAAAAATATACAAAATCGAATAAAAAGTTTGCTACGAATAATAACTAAAGGGAAGATAGAAGGCGGAAGTGGAGTAGACACAAGAATAATGGCATGGCTTTAGTGACTAGTGATCGCAAACCTCTGGTAATGCAGTGCACCAAAAGAAGATTGGGATCTTTATTATCCACCATATTTGGGCATAATAATTATTAAATATTGTGACACTATTATAAAACGACTTACCTGAAACGCATAATGAAGATGCGTGATCCATCTTCTATCACCATAGACTAAAACATCGCGTTCTTCTTTAAAACACGCCGTTTCTGCCCTCTTGAGCATTTCCCATTTATTGAGAATTTTCATGGCGAAAACTTTTTCGGTACCCTTAAATTTGACTACGCACACTTCGCCAAAAGCTCCTCTACCTATCACCTTGATTATCTCAAAATCTTCACGAGTTAACCTTAAAGATTTTACTGTGCTGGCTACAGGTTTAACTGAAAAAGAAAATTTTATATTAAATACAGAATAAATTATCCATCCATACGAATTTTTTAAAGCATGTCGATCAATCAGTATTTAATTCTAGTGGTAATGAATTGATAAACTTCAAATATAAAATTCCACGAGGAAACTAAGTTCCTGTAGCTGGCTGTATACCATATATCACAAAAAAATTTTGGTTAAAATCCTTTATAAAAGGTATTTAAAAATGCCCCAAACGGGCTATCACAAACACATTGCAAAACGTTTTCGGATTAAACAATCCATCATCAGTGCAAACCTGAAAGTATATAACCACTTTAATTAAAAAGAACGTTAAATGAAAATGTTGACAAAGGTTAGAGCAAATGTGGTTAATATTTACGGTTGTACATGCTAGTAGCCACCAAAATATATGGGTAAAAACCCTTTAAATGTTTAAAATTTGAAGTTGTTTTACATTATTAGTATTTATAATTTGTGATGGTTAAGTTACCGTTGGATAGGTAACATGGCGGCGTATGACTCTACATGAGTAAAATGGTCCTGAGACGAAGTGTCTACGAGGACCTGTTGATAACAACTGACCAAAATGACATTGTTGACATGTTAGGACGGATGTTGTGTCAGAGCAGTCAGTTAAGTTGAGTACTACACGAACACCACATTATGATCACATTCTTATCATATTTACATTTCAGCTCAACAACATATCTAAACACACCTCCACCTACTACATAAATACTCAATAATAAATCTTTTAGGACCCATCTTCCCACATGTCCCTTTTTTACCATTTTCTAGGTACCAAATGTCTCACAACATACAGGGCCTGTTGACAAAATCTTTAGCTTAAAATAAATAGATCCTTACACATGTATAGTTGGTTGCCTATCCATCCTACAAAATTTCATAAATTCCAGTTGACCTACATTAATTTTTAAAAAACCAATTTTCAATGTTTCAAATATAGCTATTTGATTAATTTACAATACAGATTACAATATTGATGGTTGATACTGTTACATTATTATAATTTTAACTTTTTCAATTTTAAATAAGGCTGACATCTGTCAATTTTAGACAACTACCGTAAGTTACACTGACTGCTCTGACACAACATCCGTCCTAACATGTCAACAATGTCATTTTGATCAGTTGTTATCAACAGGTCCTCGTAGACACTTCGTCTTAGGACCATTTTACTCATGTAGAGTCATACGCCGCCATGTTACCTATCCAACGGTAACTTAACCATCACAAATTATAAATACTAATAATGTAAAACAACTTCAAATTTTAAACATTTAAAGGGTTTTTACCCATATATTTTGGTGGCTACTAGCATGTACAACCGTAAGTATTAACCACATTTTGCTCTAACCTTTGTCAACATTTTCATTTAACGTTCTTTTTAATTAAAGTGGTTATATACTTTCAGGTTTGCACTGATGATGGATTGTTTAATCCGAAAACGTTTTGCAATGTGTTTGTGATAGCCCGTTTGGGGCATTTTATATACCTTTTATAAAGGATTTTAACCAAAATTTTTTTTTAGAATTGATAAACATTATATATATATATATATATATATATATATATATATATATATATATATATATATATATATATAGGGGTTCTTGGTTCTTGAACTCCTAAGTGGAGCATAGAGCTTCAGTGAAAACGCGCCATCGGGTTCTATTTTGCGCTAAGGCCTTCACCTCATTCCAAGACTTTCCTTGGCCTCTTATCTCGTCCATGATGGATCTTCTCCAAGTTTGTACTGGGCGACCTCTATTTCTTTTCTCTTGGGGATTCCAATCTTGGGCAGTCTTTGCGATACTGGAACTATTTTTTCGGAGTGTGTGACCGATCCAACCCCACTTTCTGGACTTAATTTCATTTTGTACCCTCTTTTGTTCGGTCAGGCGTAGCAGACCTTCGTTTCTGATGGTGTTAGGCCAGAATATACGAACAATTCTTCGTAGACATTTGTTAACAAAGACCCGCAGTTTGTCTGTGAGGGTGTTTGTCACTTTCCAGGTTTCACATCCGTAAAGTAGAACAGACATGACATTTGATCGGAATATTCGGATCTTTGTCCTTGTAGTATACTTGCCAGATCTCCAAACAAGGGTTGAGCGTGCTGAAAGCTTGTTGGGCTTTTCGTATCCTCATACGAATATCGTCTTCTGTAACTCCGTTTTCTGTTATGACACTTCCAAGATACGTAAAGTTTTCCACATTTTCAATCTGCGTATGTCGATAGTAAATAGCTTGTTGTTCCTTGCATTTATTCTCATGGACTTAGTTTTACTAATACTGATTTTCAAACCTATTTTATTAGCTTCAGTGGAAAGTGTTTCCAATTGGTAAGCCAGATCTTGGAACCTCTGACCTAATAGGCAGATATCGTCCGCGTATTCCAGATCGCTTAGGCATGTGGTTAACGTCCATTGTATCCCTCTTGTGTCGGAGTCTAGTTTGGAGAGAACATAGTCTATAGCTATGTTAAAAAGAAACGGAGAAAGCACGCATCCCTTTCTAACTCCAGTAAGTACGTCGAATTCGTCACTGTTGATCCCATTGTGTGTCACGCTGTATTTCGCATCAGTATATAGCGACTTTATAATAGAAATTATTTTTTGCGGGATGTTTCTTAGCTCTAAAATTTTCCATACAGCAGCATGAGACAAGCTGTCAAAGGCACGTTCGAAATCAACAAAAACCATGTATAGGGGTGTGTTCCGTTCAACCGATTGTTCCATTATTACCTCATAGAATTAATGTGGTCTATGCAGGAGGATTTTGGTCTAAAGAATGCTTGATTAGCTCGAAACTCAACCTTGTTTGTTAATCTTTTCAGTATGATAGTTGTGAAAATTTTATTTATGACAGTAAGCAAGGTTATTCCTCTCCAATTTTTGGACAGTGTGAGGTTGCCTTTTTTTGGAAGCTTGATAATGTTACCTTTTTTCCAGCACGCTGGAATGTGTTTTGTTTCTCACACTTCTCCGATTATGAGGAGCAAAAGCTCAGCAGTTAGATGCGGATCAGCTTTAAGTATTTCAGCAGCAATGTTATCGATTTCCGGTGACTTGTTGTTTCTCAGAGATTTGATAGCTGATATTATCTCCGTTTTGGAAGTGGCTTCGCAAGAAATATGCAAGTCTATATTCTGCGGGTTTTCGACAATTTCATCTACGTTATCTCTGGGAATACCTAGCATCTCCTGAAAATGCTCTTTCCATCTCTCTACTTGGTCATCTGTTGTAGTGCGTAATTCGCCTGTCTTGAATCTTACAATGTTCGAACAGTTGGACCCTTTTTTGTTAGTAGTCTAGTAATTTGGTAAAGCTCCCTAGTTCTGTTGTGTTGTGCAGCTGTTTCTGCTTGTTTTGCCAGTTCTTCGGCCCACCTTCTTTGGTCTCTTCTTGCTTTTCTTTTAACTGATTTATTTATTGTTTGATATTCCTGTTGTCGGTGTGCTCTTCTTTCTACAGTTCTTGCTTGCAGGATATCTTTTTTTCGTTGTTTTCTTTCCTCGATAAGATTCCATGTTTCATCTGATATCCATTCCTTTTTATCTTTCTCTTTTTTACCCAGTTTGTCTTCAGCTATTTCTGTCAAAACATCTGCGAAATCTTCCCAGCTATTTATTTCACGTTCTCTTGTTTTGAGTTGAAGTTCCTCTCTAAACATATGTCTTCCTAGGACCGCTTTAGTTTATCTAGATTGTATGTTGGTCTCTTGGTGTTTCGCGTGATTTTGTTTTTTGCCATATTGATTTTAATGGTACCAATTACGAGATGATGGTCACTTGCGATGTCTGCTCCTCTTTTATTACGTACATCAAGAAGAGATGATCTCCATCTTTTTGATATAGCGATGTGGTCTATTTGATTTTCTCTTGTATGACCAGGTGCAGTCCATGTTACCTTGTGAATATTTTTATGTGGAAAAATCGTTCCACCAATAACTAAACTATGACTGGAACAGAAATTTGTAAAGCGCTCTCCAGTTTCATTCATCACTTCTAGGCCTTGATAAACATTGGGATATACTAATTAGGAATTTAAACAATAATACTTTTAATAAACTGATTGCGACCCTGTGCTTTAGCGAAGTCGAGAACTTTTTTCTAAACTATAGTGTATTTTTATGTATGAGAGAGTAATAAAACAATAAATTATGTATGCAAATCCCTAAACTGTTGATACGGGTGACTCAATGAAAAACAGATATTTGTCAACAAGTTTACAGAAGTATATAGGAAAACAATTTTAAATTGAGTATGACCACCAGGTATAAAGGTTGGAGCAGAATAGAATACAATAGTTGTGAGGGTTACTAATCCCTAAATAAGGTTGCCAGTGTCGGAGTGATGGAGGTTAACAGGTACTAATGAATTTGCAAGAAATGTAAGATGTTTATGTTATTGGTTATATATAACCAATAAAAGTTTAATAAGTATCTACCTATTTGCAAAATAAAGTTTAATTCTTTAGATAAAATAAAACGTTTTATTTTATCTGAAATGAGTGCATTCCACGAAGTAAGGGTTTCAACAATCAAACATTTAATTCTTTAATTCCAGGAATCTACGACAGTAATTGACTAGATAATTACCTTCTAAACTTATTCCACAGAAAATGTGATAGTGGGTTTTTCCATTTTGTAGGAAGGTCCAAGTGGCGTATTCAAAATTCTTAACAGTTCACTAAAAGTAGGTACCTCAGTTGCAAGGTGCAGTTTATTGTGTATACTAGTGTTATGGAAAATTTGGAAGTGCCGTGTAAACGCCGAAAAATTGGTCCTTTAACAGTTAATGAAAAAATATTAATATTTAATTGTTTTAAATCATTTACAGACAAACGTTTATGTGAAAGTGTTGATGAGACCGTTGAGTTAGTTAGCAGTACACTTGGTGTTAGGAAATCTACGATTTACAGAGTTATTAAAGAAGAGAAATGTGGTAGTTTTCAAATGCCACGTAATGCTCCAGGGAAATCAA